CTACTTCTCTGCGGCGCGCGCGTCGTAGCACAGCCTCGCGTCGTCCGGCGACGCGAGCGCGCTGTCGCGGAGCTCTGATATCCACCTGGACTCTTCGCCGCATCATCTCCTCCGAGAGCACGCCGACCGCGCCGCCCACGAGAAAAAGCCGCCCACGAGAAAAACAACTTACATCGCGCCGAACAGCTGGGTTCACGATCGGTCGATGGCAGCAAGCAGCGTCGAGTCATGCTTTGAATCGATCTCCTGGCCGTTGGACTGAATCGACCGCTGAGGCGCGCGCGCTGGCCGATCCCTCGACCGCGCGCCCGCGGCGTCGCAGCTGCCCAGTCATGTGCGCGAGCTGTGCTGCGTCCGTAGGGTAGGCCACGCTGTTGTGCTGCAAGGTCACGGTCAATTGGGCGTTGGACACGCCGACCGTGCGCAAGAGGAGGTAGCTGAGACCCCCGTAGCCGATCGCGAGTTCACCAGCTTGAATTGCACGGCTGCGGAAAACGTCGAAACGCGCGAGGAGGTCGTCGATGCGCTCCTGCGGCAATCTGTTGAAGTTCATGTGCCGAGACTGCCTGGGCGCGCCACCCCGCGCCCAATTGGCCCCGTCGTTCGGCCAAACTGCGCGTTGGCCAGGTTGTCGGTGGCACGATTGATGTGCCCTTCATGAAATTCACCGCTATGCCAGTGAGCAGCGATGATGCGAAGGCTGCCTGGCGAAACTCATTGAAGCCTGTGTTCGCCGCTGACCAGAATATCACCTCTCGCGCCCATTCGTGGAGAGGCACTCGAGACTGCTGCTCGGGCCCCCAAGGGCGGAGGCGTCGCGCGTTGCCGCCAACGCCGCCTGCGCCCATGCAGGTCAAGCAGCCGGCCACGGTAAGCGTGCCAACTCCGATGGCCTTCCATCCGGAGTGTAAGTCCCTCCATATGTCGAGGGGGTACTGGAGGCTGGGGGCCCGTCGGCTGCGCTGCCCTGACCGTGGGCCTCGGCGCTGCCGTGGGCTCCCGCCCGGGATGCGCTCCTCCTCGTGATCGCATTGGGCGTGATCTTCCGTTGCGTCGCTGTGGCGCTCGCGGCACTCGGGACATCCCACAACAGAGTTGTGGGAATGCGTTTCGTGGGCCGTGTCGTCACTGCGCTGAATGCCACCAACTGCACGATCGTCAAGAGGAGCGCGCATCGGGATCTCGCCCTGCCGAACTGGGAGGAATGAGGGAATGTAGCGATAGGTCATGTTCCAAACGGTCAAAAAAAACAGCCAGTCCCAAGTTTGCTTCGCTGTCCCGTGGAGAGCTGACAACATAGTCGCCAGACTCTCCACGGACTTCCCGCCCTTTTGCTTGGCTCTGTGAGCGTAGTTTCAAGTAGCTCGGGGCCGTGGCCGTCGCCGCTGATGTGATCACTGGATCGATCAACTGGTCATTATGCGCGGCTGAGTCCCCTTCCGTACGGTATCTCCACTGGCGATGGGAAACGTGGCCTTGGGATCCGCGAGCTGCTCAAACATAGTCTAAGCACGTCCCGGGCAAAAGGCATGCAGCGGCGGAGAGGCGCCGCGGTCCTTGAAGAGAGCGGTGATTTTGTCCTCGTACAGGTTGTCGTGATACGAGTTGGTTTTGAGGTTACCGTTCCTGTGCGAGTTGTCGTAATACGAATATTCGATCACGGGGATGGGGAAAACCACCGCGAAAACGGTCAAGCGCGCCGATGGCCTGCTGGAAGGACTCGTACGAAAAGATGTGGGAGCCGTGGTGATCGACACCTGACGGGGCGAGTGCCACGCGGGCCATGGCGCCAGGAAGGTCGTGGAAGGAAGCCGAAGCTCCGCTACCAACCAAGAGCGTAAGAACAGATGTGAAAGTGATGGGGTACTTGTCCATATTCGTACGAGGCTGATAATTACTACGGGCACGAGAGGTTCATCTCCCGTGCCCCACGACCGTAATGGCGGCGGCGGCAAGGGGAGACGATCGGAGGGGCAGAAAGAGTGCGTATCTACCGTTCGACTGGGAGGGCGGCGAGCGGGGAGGAGGAGGAGGATAATCAAGGAGGAGCGAGGGAGAGAGGGAGGCAGGGAAGGGGGCGAGGAGGTCGGTCGGACGCGGCATGACGGCAGTCGGCGACTTTTCGCGCCCAACGGGGGGCGCCCATCCATGATCCAGAAGGCGTCCCAAAGCAGGCAAACAGCGGTGTGTACGGGATGACACTATTCAAGGGAACAAGCAGCATAAACAAAGAGGACATAAAACCTAAGGCGAGGAAGAGGGGGGAGGGAGGAGAAGGAGGAGGGGGACGAGGAGGAGGAGCAGGAGAAGGAGGAGGACGTGGAGGGGACGAGGAGGAGGGGGGCGCAGTGGGCGAGGAGGAGGAGGAGGAGGAGGAGGAGGAGGAGGAAGAGGAGGAAAACATGACGCCGCCGACGACGACGACGACGACGACGACGACGACGACGACGACGACGACGACGACGACACTGACCGTCCTCCCCGATGCCGGGGGAGGCTCCTGGACAGCGGGTCGGTGACGGCTGCGCCCATCTGGCGCAACGTGTCGCCCAGCCAGTCCTGGCCCATCAGCGGCCCGCCGACGCGAGGCGGACTCGCGCCTGCTTCCGGAGGCCTCGGGAGGGTCTGCCAGGCTCGAGGGGTCGAGGAGGCTCGAGGGACGGAGGGAGAGCGAACCTCGATCGTGTGCAGATGCTGCTGGCCCTCTTGGGCAGGGCCTCCGGGCACCTCCCGGGGTTCCCTGGATGACCCAGGGCGGTCCGCGAAGCTCGAGGGACCGAGGAGGACCCGTCGCTCCCCGAAGTCGGGGCCGAGCGGCCCCTCAAAAAAACAGCGCACTGGCTGCCAGTCCCGACGTTCTGCCGCGGGCGCGTGCGAGCGGGCAGGCAGAGGTCGCACCCCATGCCGTCCCAAGCCACTTTTTGTTGACAGACCCAGGGCCCAGCAATTTGGAGTCCCTCCCCCTACTCCTTTTTCTCCTTTTTCTCATTTTTCTCCTTTTTCTCCTTTTTCTCCTTTTTCTCCTTTTTCTCCTTTTTCTCCTTTTTCTCCTTTTTCTCCTCTTTCTCCTCCTCCTCCTCCTCCTCCTCCTCCTCCTCCTCCTCCTCCTCCTCCTCCTCCTCCTCCTCCTCCTCCTCCTCCTCCTCCTCCTCCTCCTCCTCCTCCCTCCTCCTCCTCCCTCTCCTCCTCCTTCTCCTCCTCCTCCTCCCCCTCCTCCTTCTCCTCCTCCTCCTGACCTCGAAATCCCCCAATACCTTACCGCACGGTGCGTCGCCGCAGGGTCTTGTGGGACCCTGGAGGCCCCTGTAGCCCGAGAGATCCTCGGAGAAGGACTCGAGTCCCGAAACCGTGCGGTGGCCACGAATCCCCACCGACTCACCACACGGCGTGGTCACCACCCCGTTTGGGGGCCCCCGACCACAGCCAAAAGCCGCCCAGGACGTGGCTTCCTCGGGCCGGGAGTCCCTCAGTCGCTGCGGCAGATGTGCGTAGTAGGCAGAGGGGCTTCGTCACGCGATGCGAAGTTTCCCCCTCACCACCGAATCCCCCTCCTCTTCCTCCTCTTTATACGGTGAGGGCATTTTTATATCTGTAGGCCCTGCGCGCGCGCAGGGGGTTCATGCATGCATTCAGGAAGAGGGGGCGGCAGGCCGAGGCTACCCGCGCGCCCACGCGGCCGCCAGCTGCGCCTCCAGGTCCATTAGGAGGGCTGACGTCGCGCCTCGGAGCTCGTCCGATGCCGACCGCCATTGGCCCGAGGCCTCCTCGGGCGCGGTCGGGCTCGGCTCCGAGTGGCGCTCCCGCAGGGCATCCGCCGAGAGGTCCGCGCAGGCGTCCTGCTCAGCCACGGCCTCTGCAGCAACCGCACAGCTGTTCGTGCCCACGGACGCCTGCGGCAGCACCTCGCCACCAGCAGCCTCGGACAGCCCGATGGGCTCCGAGGTGCCTGCAGTGCCGCCGCTCAGGGCGGCCTCCTGGGCGAACCCGCCGCGGGCCCGCGCGCCGCTGCCGTGCACCAGCGCCGTGCCCCCAGCAGCGGCACGCAGCGCGTCGAGCTCCGCGATGCCAGCAGCGTTCACCTCCGCGTCGTGCGGCTTCACGAACTCGCCGCGACCCTGGGACTGCGACTTCGGTGGGCTGAATCCACCTGTCCCAGGGCCGGGCTCCGCCGCGGCGGCGTACCTGGAGTCGGCCTCGCCGCCGAGCTCCGCCGCCAGATCAGCCATCCGCTGGTTCAGGTCGTCCTGGACGCCGAAGGCCTCGTTCGCCGACACGAAGACCTCCTCCACGAAGGCGTCGTGGAGCTCGGCAAGGTCGCGGGCGCGGGCGGCCGCAGCGCCCTGGGGGCCACCGAGCTGCGGCCCGCCGCTCCCGCCGTCGGCGGCCTCCAGCTCCGTGTCGATGCCGTCGGTCTGCGCGTGCTGGCAACCCTCGCCGAGAAGCGCCTCCTGCATGGGGGCGGCGTAGGCGATGAGGTCCGCCAGCAGCTGGTTGGCGTCGTGCGGCGTGTGGGGCACGCCGCCGCCGGGCGCGCCAGCGCCGATGGGGCCGAGGGGGACGAAGGGGGGCGCATCCGCCCTCAGCGCGCCATCGGCCGCCGCGCGCCGCTCCAGCCGGGGTCCCCGCTGCGCAGAACGTAGCTCCGCCGCGCTGGCCGCCACGATGTCCATGCCCAGCGCCTCGGCATGGAGGGCGACGTTGCGGCGCAGGCGCTCGAGCCAGGATGGGGTCCACCCTCCCAGCGTGGCCTGCAGCGCGGGGAGCATCGCCTGCAGCCTGTGGGCCACCTCGTCATCCCCGATGACCGCGCCCAAGGCCTGCTCCGCGGCCTCCAGACGGGCCCGAGTCCTCCCCAACTCGCCCGTCAGCCGCCGCACGGCGATGTCGGCGGACCACTTAGCCCACTGCCGTCCCGCAGCACGCTGGGCCGCCGAACGCATTGGCGCGCACTCCGCGCCATCCCGCGCCATCCTGGGTCCCGCGCGCCCGAAAGCGGGCGGACCTGGCCTTGAGCCAAAATGGCTACGGAACTACGGTGAGGGCATTGTATAAGGAACCACTGGATAAGGAATCCAGGGTCTGGAAGCCCGCGGAACTCCGATCGCGGAGTGGCCCTGGGTATCACCGCCGCCCTCATTGGATGAGGAAGCCTCCGGGGTCTGGCGCCTCCTGGGACTATTCCTCGACAAACGCCTCCACCGTATCCGCCTCCTCCCACTCCTCCTCCGATTCGCACCACGTGGCGGACCCCTCGCCATCGCTCGGACGTCCATTTCCTTTGCATTTTTGGGGTTTCGTGCATGTTTTTTTTTGGCTCGATGGTCCAGGATCGTCCTCAATGGTTCTCGCCGAGAAAAAGTGCACACGTCCGAGCGATGCCAGGACCCAAGTCGCCGACGCAGGGCCGTGCATGCACTGTGCGCTCGCGTGCTTCGCCGAGGGACGAGGGCCTGGTGGAGGGCCGGAGGGGCCCAGGGCGCAGCGCACTCCGGGAGGGAGGGCCCGGGCGCGAAGAACAAGAGGGAACCCCATCCAACACAAGTGGTGGGCTCGCTCTCCACCGCCACCACCGTGAGCAGGAGGGGGAGGGGGTCCTCCTCCTCCTCCTCCTCCTCCTCCTCCTCCTCCTCCTCCTCCTCCTCCTCCTCCTCCTCCTCCTCCTCCTCCCCCTCACCCTCCTCCTCCTCCTCCTCCTCCTCCTCCTCCTCCTCCTCCTCCTCCTCATCATCATCATCTTCCTCTTCGTCCTCCTCCTCATCCTCTACCTCCTTCCACCCTCCAACTCATGGTGGTGGTGGAAAACAAGCCCATCAAAAAGGGCTGCTATTAGCCCTCGTGCCTGCTGTAAGCCTGCAAGCGTGCTGGAAGCGTCGGACCTTTTCAGGCCTCTGGGGACCTCTGGGGGTAAGGATCCGAGGCAACTGCAATGTGAACACTGCCCCTGCTGGTCAGATTTTCGAAGCACTAGCGGAAGTTCAGAACTCGAAGGACATCTGCTGTCGTTTGTTCTGTATCGTTCTTTGTCTGCATCGTTCTTTGCTTAAGTTTAAGCGGCCTGGAATCTACTGTTGCACGCAAGGGGCTGCACCGGTTGAAGCCGACGCCGTCCCAGCCCCGATGCGGCACGCAGACTAAAAAGTATAACCAAGTAGCACCTGTTCAAAATGCCACGCGCGACTCTCCAATGCAACCATGAACAGGCTGCAAGCGGCGATCGGCAGAACGATGCGAGGAGCATAACAAAAACGATTGAATGGCGCGCTTTGCCACTGCAGGGGTGAGGGTGTTCCTGTAAGTGCCGCCCACCACTGAACTGACATATTCATATCTGATCAAAGCGCGCCCGCTCAGGGCTGGTTGCCAGAGCTTGTCGCGCAAAGATCCGCGCCGCCGAAGACGACGGCGGAGGCCTGCTCTACCCGCGGAGCGTCAGCGGCCGACATGATGAAGTCCGCCGACCCCGTTGGCTGTTCGCTGGGAGGTGGCCCAGCACAACGCATGAGAAAAACGTAGGGGCCGAGGAGGAGGAGGAGGAGGAGGAGGAGGAGGAGGAGGAGGAGGAGGAGGAGGAGGAGGAGGAGGAGGAGGAGGAGGAGAGGAGGAGGAGGAGGAGGAGGAGGAGGAGGAGGAGGAGGAGGGGGAGGAGGAGGGGAGGAGGAGGAGAGGAGGAGGAGGGGGGGGAGGAGGGAGGAGGAGGAGGAGGAGGAGGAGGAGGAGGGGAGGAGGAGGAGGGGGAGGGGGAGGAGGGAGGGAGGAGGAGGAGGAGGGAGGAGGAGGAGGAGGAGGAGGAGGAGGAGAGGAGGAGGGGAGGAGGAGGAGGAGGAGGAGGAGGAGGAGGAGGAGGAGGAGGGGGAGGAGGAGGGGATCCCAAACACACAAGCAGTGGGAGGTCCGCGCGGCTCTGTTGGGTCGGCGCTCCGCCCCCTCCCCCCTGGCGCACCAAGCACGCCGGGGGCTGGCGCCAGAGGCGCCGCCAGGGCAGGAGGAGGAGGAGGAGGGGGAGGAGGAGGGGGAGGAGGAGGAGGAGGAGGACCCAGACCCCCTCGAGTAATGAAAAAATCATGACGGAAGGTTTTCCTTCATTTTCGGCCTCCGGGGGCCCTCACCGGGCCTCGGGGAGTCAAAAAACGACTCAGGATGCAAAGCCGGTCATGGGGAAAGGGTCCAGACCTCTGGGGGTCGACGTAATGAAAAAATCATTACGTCGGGGGTCTGGGGAGGAGGAGGAGGAGGAGGAGGAGGAGGAGGAGGAGGAGGAGGAGGAGGAGGAGGGGGAGGAGGAGGAGGAGGAGGAGGAGGAGGAGGAGGAGGAGGAGGAGGAGGAGGAGGAGGAGGAGGAGGAGTCGGCTCGGGGGTCCCGCGCCGACCCTAGAGACCCAGGCATCCGACGTCGTGATTTCTTCAAGACGGGGCACCCCGAAATCTCGACCCATTCCCCGGGGCCGGTTTTTCATCCTGAGTCGACTCGTTTGACAGTCCCGGGGCTCGGCGAGGGCCGCTAGGGGCCGAACATTTCGAAAAACCTACGTCTTGATTTTTTCAATACGCTGGATCTCTGGGGATGCGCGCGGACCTCCGAGAAAGTTCACGCCTACAGTCGGGGGGCATGGCCACGAGAAGGCGGGTTCTTGGGTTTCCCCCCACTTCCCACATGTTTCCGCATTTTCCTGGGAATCGACGATTAATTGTGTCTGTGTGCTGCGTTCCCCTCCTGAAGGTCACGCTTACAGTCGGAGCATGGCCACGAGCACGCGGGCCAAGAGCACGGGCGAGCCCCGTCACCGAGAGGCCCGGGCCCCCCACGGAGGTACGCGTTGGGCGGAGGAGGCACGTATGCCGAGGGCGGGGAGCCCTCGACACGGGGGGAGAGCGCGAGAGAGCGCACGAGGGTAACTACCCCGAGCAGGCCAGCGGCTGGGCCAGCTGGGGCTGCTCTGCGCCTGGCAAGGCTCTGAGATCCGACGTTGCAAACAAAAAATTGCCACGTCGCGAAACGGGGCGCCCGGAGACCGGGACCCGCTCTTGCTGCGTCAATTGTCGAGCCGGATCGACCTGTGAGGGCCCCGGGGCACGAACATTCGGGCAGGCCCGGCGTGAAAAGCTGCAACGCCGGGATCTCTCAGGGAAGGCTCCGGGCGCGCGCGCGCCGCCCCCGCCCCCCCCCAGACCCCCTCGGGTAATGAAAAAATCACGACGGGAGGTTTTTCGCCATTTTCGGCCTCTGGGGCCCTCGCCGGGCCTCGGGGGCGTCAAAAAACGACTCAGGAGGACAAACCGGTCCTGGGGAAGGGGTCGAGAACTCTGGGGTCGACGTAATGAAAAAATCATTACGTCGGGGGTCTGGGCCCCGAGCAGCCCCAGCTCGCCACCGCTCGGACGTCCACGTCCCGTGCACGTTGTTCGGTCCCGTGCGTGCCTTGTGTGTGCTCGGTGGTCCAGGATCGTCCTCGATGGTTCTCGCCGAGAAAACATGCACACGTCCATGCGATGCCAGGCCCCCGACGTCATGATTTTTTCATTACGTCGACCCCCCGAGGTCTGGACCCTTTCCCCGTGACCGGCTTTGCATCCTGAGTCGTTTTTTGACGCTCCCGAGGCCCGGCGAGGGCCCCCGGAGGCCGAAAATAGGGAAAAACCTCCCGTCGTGATTTTTTCATGACTCGAGGGGGTCTGGGCCTCGATGGTTCTCGCCGAGAAAACATGCACACGTCCATGCGATGCCAGGCCAGCTGGCCTCCGCAGGCCCTCGAGGAGGAGGAGGAGCGAGGAGCGAGGAGGAGGAGGAGGGCGAGGAGCGAGGAGGAGGAGCGAGGAGCGAGGGGGAGGAGGAGGAGCGAGGGGGAGGAGGAGGAGCGAGGAGCGAGGACGAGCGAGGAGGAGCAGCCCGGGGGGCGGCCGATCGGCACCCGCGGGCGGCCCCGGGGGCGCCCCCGGGGCGCCCCATAGGGGCGCCGCCGCCCGATCCCAGACCCCCTCGGCGCCGTGGCTTTTGCCGCACCGCGTCGACCCCCAGAGGTCGGGACCCCTTCCCTCCGTCGACCCCTTCACGCAACGTCGACCCCAGACCCCCTCGAGTCATGAAAAAATCAAGGCGGGAGGTTTTTCCTACTTTTCGGCCTCCGGGGGCCCTTACCAGACCTCGGGACCGTCAAAAAACGACTCAGGACGAAAAACCGGTCCTGAGGGTCCCCGGGGCCCGGAATCGAGCGTAAACGCCCGTTGCAAAAAAAATGCAACGCCACGATCTCAGGGGAGGCCAGCCTGGGGCTCCTCGGGGAGGGGGGCGGCTGCCGAGGCCGGCCGGCGCCGCCCGGGGCGGCTGCCGCCCGCGCGCGGCCTGGAGCCCCGTCGGTGCCGGCTGGTCGGCCCGAGATCCCGGAGGGGGAGGGGGGAGGGGAGGAGGAGGAGGAGGAGGAGTGAGGAGGAGGAGGAGGTGGAGGAGGAGGAGGAGGAGGAGGAGGTGGAGGAGGAGGAGGAGGAGGAGGAGGAGGAGGGAGGAGGAGGAGAGGAGGAGGAGAAGGAGGAGGAGGAGGAGGAGGAGGAGGAGGAGGAGAAGGGGAGAGGAGGAGGTGGGGAGGAGAGGAGAAGGAGGAGGAGGAGGTGGAGGAGGAGGAGGAGGTGGAGGAGGAGGGGCGGAGGAGGGGAGGAGGAGGAGTAGGTAGTGGAGGAGAGGAGGAGGAAGAGAGGAAGGAGGGGTGGTGGAGAAGGGGAGGGGGAGGAGGAGGAGGAGGAGGAGGCAGGAGGAGGAGGAGGGAGGAGGAGGAGGAGGAGGAGGCGGAGGAGGCGGAGGCGGAGGCGGAGGAGGAGGAGCAGGAGGAGGAGAGGCGGAAGAGGAGGAGGAGGAGGAGGAGGAGGAGGAGGACGAAGGAGGAGGAGGAGGAGGAGGAGGAGGAGGAGGAGGAGGAGGAGGAGGAGGAGGCGATCCTATGGCGTGATTTCTTCAATACGGGGTCCCCGGAAGGCTCGACCCACTCCCCAGGACCGGTTTTTCATCCTGAGTCGTTTTCTGACAGTCCCAGGGCCCGGCGAGGGCCGCCAGAGGCTGAAAATTGAGAAAAGCCTGCGTCTTGTTGTTTTCGATGCGTTGGACCTCTGGGCCCGAGGTCTCGGGAGGGGTGCTCTGGCGCCCAGCACGGGCCACGCCGCCGCCGCGGAGCGCGGTGCCCCCGCCGCGGCGCGGCCCGCCTCGAGCTGCTGCCCTCGCCCCCGGCGGCACGCGCGGGGCGCGGAGGGCCGCGCCAATGCCAGACGCCCCCCCCTCGAGGCGCACGTCCCGCACCGAGCACGCAGCACACCCAGACATGATCGCGTCGTGAAAAATTCCGGACGGGAGGGTTTTGGCTATTTTCGGCCTCGGGGGGGGCCCTCGCCGGGCCTCGGGGCCGTCAGGAAACGACTCGGGACGGAGGACCGGTCACGGGGAGAGGGTCGGGACTTGCAGGGACGCCGTCCTGACAAAGTCAGGACGTCGCATGTCTGGGCAGTGGAGGCCAGACCCCGCAAGAAAAAGCTCCCACGAGAAGCCCAACCCTGAGACCCCAGGAGAGGCCCATGCATCTCTGGTGTGGGAGCGTCACGCGCAACACCGCAGGGCCAGCGGAGCCCAAGAGACCCAGGGCACCCCAGAGGCGAGCAGGGCGCCTCTTGGCACGGGCCTCCACTGGTACTGCTGTAGTGCTGGACGCCCCCACTCGAGGCGCACGTCCGGGCCGAACATGCAGTACGGACATCTTGCGGCACATCGTGGCCCAAGCGGTACAGTGCCGTTTTTAATACATAGGATGTTTAAGAATATAGGATTCTATACAGGGTTCATTTATGAATACATGTATGCATGAACTCATCGTTGTTTTTAATACTAAATCCCGGTATTGTTGATACATGATCCGCACGCGGAGCATGTATTAAAAACAGCACTGTACGACGAGCAGGCACCCGCCACCGAGCATAGACGATCAACAGTTTCTCAGCGCGCGCGCGTCGCCTATTGGGGGGCGGACACGCACGTGGTATACGTGCGTAGGGGTGATGTCGAGGCCACGCTCCTGCCGCGAGATGGCAGCAGCAGCAACGCCCACGCACCAGTGTGATCCGAGGTCTCTCAGAGCGGATCGGGTCGGAAACGCTTGGGACGATTCCAAACTCCACAGACTGAGCCTGGCTGAACGGGTCGGGTCAGGCGGGCGGATCCTACTGGGCGGGTCGGGTCGGGTCGGGCGGGCGGGCCCTGACGGGCGGGTCGGGTCGGGCGGGCGGACCCTAGCAGGCGGGTCGGGTCGGGTTGGGCGGGTCGCGTCGGGCGGGCCGGACATTGAGGTGTGGGGCGCGCTCGACCGAGCACGCGCGAAACCTAACAGGCGTGTTGGGTCGGGCGGGCGGACCCTGGCGGGCGAGTCGGGTTGGGTCGGGCGGGCGGACCAGAACGGGCGAGTCGGGTCGGGCGGGCGGGACATTAAGGTGTGGGGTGCGCTCGACCGAGCAAGCGCGAACGCGAACGGGCGGGTCGGGTCGGGCGGGCGGACCCCAGCGGGCGGGTCGGCTCGGGCAGTTTCGCCGACGTCAGCTGGTTCCGCCGACGGCAGCTGGTTTCGCCGACGGAGCTGGTTTCGCCGGGCGGCGAAACCAGCCGGGCGAAGCCAGAGCCGTCGGCGAAACCAACGGTCGCCGACCCCCCGGCCTTCCAGCTCTGGTCCCGGCGCCCTGCCCCTCCCGAGAGCTGGCACAGCGAGGCTGCCCCCCCCTCCCGAGGCGGCTGGGGCGCGCGCGCACGGGAGGTACACAGAGGAAGAAAACACCGCGTCAACATAAACTTTTTGCGCCCCGCGCGGATTCCTTGGAATCGCGCTGGGCCCCCCTCCCTGGCGCGCGGAGCGCGCCAGGGGCGGCGCCGGAGGCGCCGCCGAGGGGCCGAGAGGCGCGGATTCAAGAAACCCGCGCGGAGCTCGAAAAGTTTCTGTTTGTGTGGTTTTCTCTCCTTCGAGCACAGCGCAGCCCCTTCGGCCGCGCTTGGTTGTCGCCTCGCCCGTCGCTCTGTTTGTTTCTCCCGCGTTTCCTTTGCCTAATTTGTCTCTGCGTACGGCAGGTCCGTGCCGTGTCGACCCTGGCGTTGGTTCCTGACACCGCGCTGGATTGTTCAACCTTGAACGATCGGCCGTCTCCGCAACGTCCGATCGTTCAACATCGACCGATTCTGGGCCGCCGTCGGCGTTCAACGTTGAACGTCGGCGGCGGGGTCGCCGCCGGTCGACACGACGCGAACCTACCGTAGCCCGCTTTGACCTGACACGCCGCCGGCGCGCTCGCCCGCGGCCGCCGACTAAAAAGTACAGCGCAGCCCCGACAGCGCTGCCGGACCGGGGGCTGCGCGCCCGGACGTCCCGGCGCCGCTGGCAGCGCCAGGCACGAGACTGGCTGTGGCGAGGCTCGGGCCCTCCTCCTCCTCCTCCTCCTCCTCCTCCTCCTCCTCCTCTCTACTCTCTCCTCCTCCTCACCCCTCCTTTCCTCTACTCTCTCCTCCTCCTCTCTCCTCTACTCTCTCCTCCTCCTCCTCCTCCCTCCTCCTCCTCCTCCTCCTCCTCCTCCTCCTCCTCCTCCTCCTCTCTTGGCCCGTCCTCCTTGAGCATCGTTTAGCCGATCCCCATCCCCGCTGGCATGGCCTTGGCCCCACTGGCCGACTTGCCCCCCCAGGTGGGGATGCGTAGCTCCTTCGGGTTTCGCCGGACCGATGCCCACCTGCGGGTGTCGGCAGCAGGTGGGGCTGAGAACCATGGCCCAGTGGGGATGGGGATCGTTAAGAGGATGTTGAATCACGGTAGTGCTTTCCTCCCCTCCTCTGACCCCCCTCCTGCTTGCTGCAGTTGGCTCCTCAGCGCAAGCGTCCTCGCGAGAACCGAGCGCGCAGACAGGCACATGACTCTCCCGATTGTTCCCGCCCTCTTCTTCATACTCCTCTCCCTCCTCCACCCTCCTCCTCTCTTCCTCCTATCCTCCTCCTCCTCCTCCTCCTCCTCCTCCTCCTCCTCCTCCCCCTCATCCTCTTGTTTTTCCTCCTCCTCCTCCTCCTTCCCCTCCTTCGCATCATACTGTTTTCTCTCATCCTCATCATCACTATTTGCACCTACCTTGCTCCTGGGGCATGCGAACAACCTGAGTCCGATGCGAATCTGTTTGGGGTCGGCGGCGTGGCGCCAGTCTCTGGGATCGGTTGCTTTGTGCATTCGATCCTTGCCTTGCAGCCTCGCAATCTTTTTGTAGTCTGCGGCGGTGCAATTGTCTCCGTACTTATCCAAGCCAATGCGATCGTCTGGCTTCGATACTCCGTCCTTCGAGCACACCTCCTGATACTTCGCGTGGGCTTCCCTCTCGGCCTCCTCGCGGCTCTTTCCTAGTGTGTATCGGTGGTGGTCGTAGCGCATCTCGTGCACAAACGCAGGCAGCCAATAATCAAAGAATGCGTCGATCATCCCCGAACCTGGAGCGGCACCAAGCTGCGTAAGCATCGACCTCCGGAACCTCCGCGCGCGGTTCTCGGATCGGCGCCGAGCCTGCCTCACTGGCGCGCTCCGCGCGCCGGGGGCGTCCGGCGCCGATCCAGGGGATCCGCAGGGAGCTCTGAGAATTGATGCCACATTACCCAGACCCCCGACGTAATGATTTTTTCATTACGTCGACCCCCCGAGGTCTGGACCCTTTCCCCATGACCGGCTTTGCACCCTGAGTCGTTTTTTGACGCTCCCGAGGCCCGGTGAGGGCCCCCGGAGGCCGAAAATTAGGAAAAACCTTCCGTCATGATTTTTTCATTACTCGAGGGGGTCTGGGTATCTTGTCTTCTCCGAATCCATCCTCCCGAACCTGTGAAGGAATCGCGGTGCGAGACCATCTCCGAGTCCCGCGCCGTGACGAGCCACATCGGGTGCTCGCCGCCGCGGAACTTCTCGGGCTCCGAGGGCCTCCCGGTGGACTGGGACGCCTCGACCCAGCCCGTGAGGAAGTGGTACGGGTTGCTGTACTTAGTTGTTCTTGAAAGCGCTGGGGGCGCTGCTTCCCCTTCCTCCTCCTCCTCCTCCTCCTCCTCCTCCTCCTCCCTCCTCCTCCCTCCTCCTCCTCCTCCTCCTCCTCCTCCTCCTCCTCCTCCTCCTCCTCCTCCTGTACTCAGTTGTTCTTGAGAGCGCTGGGGGCGCAGGATTGCAAAAAAAAGGATTGCAAGAAAAGGATTGCAAAAAAAACCGAAGGATTGCAAAAAAAAACCTTCCCGTCTTGTCCTTTTTTTGCAAGGGTTTTTTGCAATCTTTTTGCAATCCTTCTTCCCCTTCCCGCCTTGCCCTTTCTTCGCTGTTGACTCGACCAACGAATGTTTCGAAACGGCCCCCGGGAAAGTTCGCGTCAAGCAGGCAACACTGTGACATCTGAGAGCGCACTGAGACGCAAGGGCAACCGGAAGAGAACGGGCAGGTGGGCCACGGGTCGATCCTGGACCTGCAAACGTAACAAAAGCGGTGCCCGAGGCAGGAGGAGGAGGAACAAAAATGTCGATCTTCAAAACGGGGGACAACACCTCGGCGGTGTTAAGAACATCTAAGTTGCTGTACCACAGCATCACGCGGTAGCACGGGCACACCGTGCTGTTCGAGATCACGAACTGCTCCGTGGAGCCCCCCGCCTCTGGGAGGACACAGTGTACCGACACCGCTGCTCCCCAGGACCTCCAGGGGTGCGTTCCGACCAGAATCTCCAAGCGAATCAAGCCGCGACGAAGAGAAAAGGGTAGCTGGAGGATCAACAAACTGTGTCAGCATGCACTTTCGGAGCTGCGCGCGGATCTCTCGGATCGGCGCTGGGGACCCTTGGCGGCGCCTGCGGCGCCGCCCCTGGAGCGCTCCGCGCGCCAGGGAGGGGGGTCCACAACCGATCCAAGAAATCTGCGGGGAGCTCCGAAAGCTCATGTTTATGTCATTGAGTGTTCGCCGAGTAACTGTATCGAACACGCACAAGCACATACTCAATCTATTCATATACTTCTAGATGCGTGTATATGCGTACGTTCCTCTTCCGAGCCTCGATGATGGCGTGGGTGGTGTGCACGATGAGCGTGAACTTCCCCGGGTATTCTCCGCCTCCGGCCTGCAAGCCAAGGGCCCAGCGTCGGTCGAGCGGTGGGTACGGGTAATGGGGCACGAAACTCCAAATGTCGACGCGGTCCGCCTGTGCCCTCGTCTGCCGGGCGCGCGAGATGATGCTCCGCGCAGTGGCGCACCACTGGTCCTCCGTCCCCAGGTCCTCCATCGTAGTGCTGATCTGCTGGCAGAGCCTGCTGTCCAGGTCGTAGACGAAAGGGTTGCAGTTCATGTAGTACTTGAGCCAGGGCATCAGGAGCCACATGCAGGCGATCATGTAGAGCGTCTCGCCTAGCGCCTGACGGGAGCACTGGCCCATGGCGCAGACAAAGAAGTCTGGAAGGTGGAGGAGGATCGACGGGCCATTACGATAGGGCCGAATCTTCTCGAAACTCGCACACGTCTGCTTCCAACGCCACAGGCACACCATGTAGAGGATCGAGAATATGTAGTAAACGATGTAATCGAGTATCAGGGAAACGAATGCCAAAAGCATCGCCGGAAGCGAGAGCGCGAATGTTAGGGTGAACACAGCGTAGAAACCCCTGGTCCGTCGAATGCGCTCTGTGCCATCTGGGACTGAAGCAATGGTGCACCGTACAACCAGCATGGGAGGCACGTGTAATATCAGCATGGGCAGCGCCAAGACCATGATCTTGGGGGCCATCCAAAGGACCGTCGTGATGAGCACGTACTTGTCGGCACACTTTACCCTGCCGGTTGGGTTCAGCGGCCACGCCTGGTCCCGGCTTGTGTCGTTGCCGTCCTCGGGATTGAGGGACACGCCCCCAGCTGCCTTGATGGCTCTGGCATGTGCCATCTGCTCGGCGGACTCACCGTTGAGCCACATGCGCTTCTTTTGTTGGGCCTGTTTCCCACCGAGGGGGTCCTCCTCCCCATCTTCTTCCTCCGCGATGCAGCGCAGCAAATTACGTTGGACACTTGGTCTGACACGCGTCTTCCCTCGATCCAGCGAGAAGTTGTTGGGACCTGGGGAGGCCCAGTTCTTCCTGTCACCCCTAGGGTGGCCTGCTGCGGCGCAGGGCCCCCTGTCAACCCTGGGGTGGAGATGGCCGCAGGCCACACCACATGGGGCTCAGGCGCCCCTTCAGAAGCCCTATCACCTCAAGTCCTCCCCCCCCAGACATCCGACGTCACGATTTTTTCGAGACGCGTGCCCCCGACCTCCCGGCCACTTCCCTGGGACCAGTTTTTCATCCCGAGTCGTTTCTTGACGGTCCCGAGGCCCGGCGAGGGCCCCGAGAGGCCAAAAACTATGAAAAACCTGTGCCTCGATTTTTTCGAGACGCCCGATGTCTGGGCCGACACCTTACGGTGGTGGTGGTGGAAAACAGGCCCACCATCTCTTCGTCCACGGTCACCCTCTCCCAGCCGCGGGCAGCGGTAAAGGGACGCCCCGCCTCTGGCACCTCGCTCGCGTCCCGGACGAGCGGCGACTCCGCGCAGTAGCAGTCCGGGGCCGTGGAGGAGTCCGAAGACCCAGGCCGCCTCGCGGCCACGAGCGGCACGCTAACCCGGGTCAGCCAGAGGGGGTCTCTGCAGGATCCCGCAGGATCCGGTGCCCTGGCTGACCCCCGATTGCATTGACCCCCGTCTCAAGGCTCCCGATCAGAGGTCTGGACCCCCTCCCCGGGGCCGGCTTTTCATCCCGAGTCGCTTTGTTGACGGCCCCGGGGCTCTGGTGAGGACCCCCGGAGGCCGACCATCGCGAAGAGCCTCCCGTCGCGATTTTTTTCTCACGGCGCGAGGGGGTCTGGGGAGTCCGAGGAGGAAGAGGAGGACGCCGGCGGGGAGGGCAGCCTGGCCCCCGCCATGGCGCGCGCCTCCCCCCTTTATGCCAGCGGCTCGCTCCCGGAGCCCACGCGGCTGACTGCAGGCCGGCGCGGCGCGCGGCCCGCCGCGGGGAGGCACCCGGCCGGCCCTCTGCCTCGCCTCGGCGGGGGAGGCCGGGCACGAGAGAGGAGGCACGGAAGAGCGCCCCGCCCGGCCTCGTGGAAACCTGCAGGGGCCCAGGCGCACACACAAGCAAATAGGCACAAAGAAGAGGATCCCCCATGCTTTCCCGCAGTCTCCGGGTTTCTGTCCTCGCCCCCACTTCCCATATCTTCCACTCTTTTCTGGGGGATCGACGAGTGGTTGTGTCTGTCTGATGTTCTCCCTTCCTGAGAGCCACCGGGCATCCCCCCTCTCCTGCCGAAAGGGGGCCACATGCGAACCCTGCCCCTACCCCCCACGATTTCTGAGGGGGAGGGTGGGGTTCACTTCGCTTGGGAGCCCTCGAGCGACGTGAACCCCACCCTCTCCCTCAGAAGTCGTGGGGGGTAGGGGTAAGGCTCGCATGTGGCCCCCTCGGCCCGAAGCGCTGGCAGCACGCGGAGAGACCCAGCCTGTCGCACCCGCGGGACTTGGGCGGAGGGCAGAGCCAGCAGGCGCCCTGCCCAAGACTCGGAGGCACGCCTGCCGCTCTGCTGCCCGCCTGTTTGTGCACTGCGCTGGCACTGCCGGGCACGCGCCTACTTGGAATCCCGAAACCCAGACCTCCTCGAGTCATGAAAAAATCACGGCGGGAAGTTTTTCGCAATTTTCGGCCTCGGAGGGCCCTTACCGGGCCTCGGGACCGTCAAAGAACGGCACGGAATGAAAAACCGGTCCCAGGGAATGGGTCTGGGCCTGTGGGGGTCGCGTCATGAAAAAATCATGACGTCGGGGGTCTGGGAACGGTGCGGTGACGGACCGTGCGGTGACCTCGAGATCCCCCCAGACCTCACCGCACGGTCCGTCGCCGCACGGTTCTGGGACCCCAGAGGCCCCTGTTGCCCGAGACGTCCTCGGAGAGGGACCCGAGTCCCAAAACCGTGCGGTGACCCCGAATCCACACGGACTCATCGCACGGTGTGGTCACCGCCGGGATTCCTGCGGGGGCGCGCGGAAGCCGAGCGGCCCGCGCCCGAGGCGACCCAAGCATCCGGTGCTGGAGCAAGCCTTGGGTCGGGCCTGTCCCCCCCTCCAGGGGGGATCTTGGGCGAAGCATAAAGAAAAGAAGAGTCGAACAAGACTCGACAGAATGCACCAACCTACGCAGAGCATCGCCCCCAGGCTGTTTGCTTGCTGTTTTTGAACGTTCCCCCTGCAGGGGGGCACGCCCGACGTGAAGCAGGCCGCCCTGCGCCCGCAGCTCGCCCAGGGAGTCCGCCGTGCGCCGCCGCGTCGCCCCCCGCAGCAGACGCGGCCAGCCCCCGAGACGGCCCAGAGGAGGCGCCCGCGACGATGCAGACCTCGGCCCGCGACGCGCAGAGGCATACTTATAGAGGAAAAAGAACTATGCACATACACCGATTCTGGCCAGGCCCATCCTGAGCCCAGGATCGGTGCATACGCCCTCCTACCTTGGCCAGGAAGGCATATGCACCGATCCTGGGTCAAGGATGGGCCTTGCCAGGATCGGTGCATGTGCATAGTTCTCTTCGCCCGAACTTATACTACAGTGAAAACGTATAGTAAGGACGCGTGGTAAGGGCGCAAGACCCTTGGAGGCCGAAGTTGCAGTATTCGGGCCTGCGAAAACTGCTGGGGACGGGCCGCAGAGGCTGAGGCAGGCAAGGGCCCAAGGGCACCCTTGAAAAAGTCGTTTGTCCTTACTCTGCGCGTTGACTGTATATGTCCTCCTTGGAGGCGCGCGCCCGACCTGAGCACATAGTATGCCCATCTTGTAGTACATCGTTTCCCGAGCGGCGTGGCCAGAATGCGCCCGCCTCGACGCATATACTACAAGATTTCTCGGTGCGCGCGTCGCCCCGGGGGGGGCGACGCACATACAGTATCAGTATGTTGGGGTGACGCCGATAAACCTTTCGGAGCCTAAGCCCTAAACCCTAAACGCTAAACCCGAAACCCCCGGCCCGCGCCCGAGGCGACCCAAACATCTGGTCCTGGAGCAAGCCATCCTGAACCCGCAGCTCACCCAAGTAAAGGGCGTCGTCGCCGGCCGGCGAGCTGCCCCGTCAACCCTCAGAAACACGGCCTGCCTCTTGAACCGGGACGCGAAGTCCCAGGCCATGGGACCTGAAAAAGCCGGAGCTGTCAAACCCAGCGGCCCTACCATAGCAAGCGGCCCCGGAAAGGACGGAATAGAGAGAGCCCGATACGTTTGCGGTGCAAACCGACCGTCGCACAAATATCTCGAGCGCGTCGTGGTGTACCAAGAGACCGCTTGCTTGATAGGGAAACGCAGACCCCCGCCTCGGGAACTCTGATGCGCAAAATGGTGATTTGTTTTCGTTGTCCTCTGAAACGTATGCTGGCTTTCGCAGGAGGGCCCAACTGTTGCTTTCCTTCCGCGCAGCCGTTCGCCTAGGAAGAAAAAATAGTCAATCCTCTCGATCCCTCAATGGCGAGGCCCTTTCTGGAGTGCACCGTAGAAGCTGAGAGGAGTGCCAATTGAAACATCGGCGGCCCTCCCTACTGAGGAGGGTAGAGGAGGAGGAGGAGGCTTGAGGACTTGGAAACTACCTCGGGGGAAACCCCTCGCTCGCCACAAACTGCGGGCGCAAACACAACAATAATCGTATTCCTCGTGGCAATACCCGAAAAACCAAGCTTACGCTTCCTGCCGGCCTTTGCGGTCACTGCTGAAACGCACATCTGAGGACGGACTTGCGAAGCCATGCGAACGTGTCACCTCAAAATCGATGCGAGGAGGAGCAGGCTAAAAGCCAGGAGCAGGAGGGGGAGGAGGAGGGAGGATTGGGGAGGGGAGGATTGGGACAAGGAGGGAGGACTAAGGAGGAGAACAAGGAGGGAGGATTGGGACTGGGGAGGAGGACTGGGGAGGAGGACAAGGAAGGAGGACTGGGGAGGAGGACTGGGACAAGCCAGGAGGAGGAGGAGGGACAAGGAGGGAGGATTGGGGAGGGGAGGGGAGGAGGAGGGCAGGCCGCCGAGGCCTCAAGCGACCCTTCAGAGACTGCTCGGATCATACACACCTCCGAAGCACGCCCCGCAGGACTGAGGCCACGGGGGGGGGGCAAAAAAAAAACAACGACGATTCTCCTCCTCCTCCTCCTCCTCCTCCTCTTCATCCACTTCCTCCTCCTACTGCGTATCCGTCCGTCATGCTCCTCCATGTTTTCAGCATACCACCACCACCATCACCATCACCATCACCATCACAATCGACATCACCATCACCATCGTCATCGTCATCGTCATCATCACCAGCATCATCAAAATCACCATCATCATCATCAGCATCATCAACATCATACTCCTCATCATCACCACCATCATCACCACCATCATCATCATGACCATGACCAGCACCATCGCCAGTACCGCCACCAACACAATCGGCATAACCATCGCCATCACGATCACCATCACCATCATCCACATGACCAGTATCATCATCATCATCATCATCATCATCATCATCATCATCATCATCATCATCATCATCATCACCATCATCATCATCATCACCATCAGCATCATCACCATCATCGTCATCATCATCAACCTCATGATCATTATCCGCATCATCATTCCCTTTATCCTGTTCATCATCAGCTTCATTTCTGCCAGTACCATGATAATGATCATGATCATCGTCATCTTCATCATAATCATCATCCCCATCCCCATCACCGAGGAGGAGGAGGAGGAGGAGGAGGAGGAGGAGGAGGAGGAGGTCGAGCGTGCCCAGAGGGGTCATCCAATACATCCTACGCCCCACCCCTGGACCCAAAATCGGACAGTGGGGCCCTGGAGGGGCAAACGAATCGCAGCTCGAATTGTCGTGGCCTTCACCCTCGCACTGCCAAATTGATATGCAAGCCCATGTGCATAGAAATGCGCAACTACACAACAAAAAGTAGACCTGTACTTCACTTCAGTCGAGTCATCGAGCCTAGCTCCAACTGGTCCCAGGCCAAGGCGAGCCAGCGTATCGGCAGGAACATCCCGAGAGAGCACCCCACGGACCAGGGCCTCAAGAGGCCTGCACCAGAGAAGGCCGTGCCACACATAATCATCACCAGCACATCCAAAGAGGCAGCCCCACGACTCCCTCTGCATCCGTCGGGACGTAGCCCACCCGCCTTGCCAGCTTTTCAGCCACGCCGTGGCCCAAGACATGGGAAGAGCCTTCAGACCAACCCTCACCCCTCCCCAGTCCACAAGCCCCACTCCACCCCTCGGAAGATACCGCTTCGTAATCCGACGATCCAGCAGAACGGCAATCGACGGGGCGAAAAGGTGATAATATAATATCGTCGAGAATCGCGCCTGCCATCGCGGGCGCGCGCCTGCACGCCTAGGATCGCGCGAAGCCGACCTCCAGATCATG